TTTTAAAGGTCATATCAATAAAAAATACTGTGACAAGATTTTGCTGATACAGTTTGTGTTGCTTTTCTGGAACTGTTGCTAACTAGTGGCTCAACCCTTTTCCACTGTTTTCCCCTCCCTTGACTCCTTCAGTGCTATGGCCACCTACCCACCGACTTGCTCCAACACTAACACCTCCCAGGGAATGAACATGGCAAACAGCATTGCCAACCTGCGGCTCAAAGCAAAGGAGTATAGCTTGAACCAGGTGCCCACAGTCAACTGAAAGGTGAAGTACAGAAAAGCCGTCTAGATTAGGGGACCTTTGAAACCACTGGACCCCCACAAACATCGCCTTTGGAATGAACTTCAACCGACATAAACTGGATCGTGAGGTTTCTGCTTTTTTCTTTTTTTTTTTTTCCAACTATAGAAATTGGGTGTGACAGCATTTTGCCACGAGATGCAAAATGTCGGACACCGAGTGACGCAACACCGTTTCGCTCCAAGACTTTTTGTCTTACAAACCGCTGTTTGTACCAAAGACATCTAGAGTGATGATGTAATCAAATATCTGTGTAGTTTTGTTTTTGTGACTAATAATGGAAGCTTTTTTTCCCCCCTATGAGTTTTGTACTGTTATCAAAGACAGAAGGAATGAGACTCAAACAATATGTGGAATACCCTGGGCCACTTTGGTTTGGTTGCGGTGGACAAAATCGCACACCCCAAATCTGGCTCGATATGTTTTTTTCTGTACTTCTTAAGATCTATGAAGACTCCATGTGAAATCTGGGGTTCATGACACCATGGTTCCGACTCGATTTTCATTTTATCATTTTCCTATCCATCTTATACTAATGACAAACACATGTTTTCAAGTAATTTTCATTGTAAGTATTCAAGATACAGGAGAGGCTGTTGTGTTTCCCAGGAGATCATTTTGATGTTCTGTGATATCATTTATTTGTAACAGACAAAAAACATGTATATTAATTAATAAAAATGTATTTCAAGCAATAAATTAGACTACCATTCAGTAGGTCCAATAACAGGTTAGATCCAATTTGTGAATGTCTTAAACGCTTTCGGAAAGCAACAACAACTTTCAAGTAAGCGTCACAAAATATATGACTGCAGAAATGCAGTCCGATAAATTCTACCCATTTAACTATAAGAATTAACTATAAGAAATAAGTATGTTTAGAGTAGGGCTCGTTTGGAGAGTAACATGATCTCAGACCTCTTGCAAGACCCATTAGAGCAAGATTTACAACTTAAATTCTTCCTCAGAGAAAAACCTCAAGCTACGCACTGTGTTTTTTATTTCTCGATACCATGCCATTTCATCTTAAAAATGGGATATTTATGAGCTCCTTTCAATGAAGGGATTTGAACTCTTGAGTTGCCGTCCAGGCTCTCTCTCCTCCTTGACCCTAAGAAGTGGTGCAACAAACAGGCCATTCTTGCGCGGCAGACGCCAACTGCACAAGCGGGCTTGCAAGTCGAGATTTGGGGTGGGTGAGGATTGATGGAAGCGGTGCCAAAATTATGTCCAACATACATTAATTGTGGAGATATTTTATGACACAGAAAAACCAAGCGGAATTTCTGAAATATCCATGTCCTTCAAACCCCATTTCTTTCTACATCTTCCCGAAATGAATTCATAAATACAATTTTTGTTCATTGACGCATCAGGAAGCTGATCCTTGACTTTCATCTCGAGAGCCGAGACATTTCTGAATTTGGCTCTTGATATTAATCGACTCTTTTTACACTTAACTGTGAGTCTGCCTCATTCTTTGAGTGTAAAAAAAAAAATCAACATGTTAGTATGTATTTAGTTAAAAAAAAGTTTTGCTGATTTTGACGGAAGCAAATTAGAGAACATGGTCCCCTAATACAATCTAAAAGCACAAACTTGTCTTTGCATTAATCATTTAAGCATTATTTACATTTTGGTAGTTGGCTGCAATGAATTATTTATTGAGGCTAACTTGATTGAGAATCCCCCGCCACCCCCCCAGTACTTCCGACATGGCTTTGAACTGATCGGCATATTGTCATAATAAAATGGTGGTTCACTGATGTGGCTTCAACATTTATCCCATCTTGCATGCCACATTAAAAAAAGGATATTCCTGTTTTCTTTTTACTTGTTTTCTTTTCTGCTCTTAGTTGTTTTCCTGATCACTGATCCCTGACTGTGGTATGTCCAATGTCAGACCCTGTCTCCCTTTCCCCTGCCAGGCGCCTGGTCTCACCTTTCATGGCCAGAGTCGGGGCTGACCTGAAGTGATTCCAGATGTGGAAATCTTTTTAACCTAAACCCCATCACCCAACTCCCCTCTAACCCCCACGCTCTTCACCCTCTCACTTCTTTTCCTCCCCCTCTTCACCCCAGGGCCTGGCCAGCCACTCCATCAGGTATGACAGCATTCCCCGAGTCTCTCCTCGGCTGAGCACATGACATACAATGCAACAATCCCACTCTCTGCACCAATTCTGCCCTCACCCACCCACTCGAGTCTTCAACAGCACATCTGGAGCTCATTACAGAGGAGACAGTAAGAGTGAGGGAGGGGTGGAGAGTCTGCATGCAGAATGTGTATGTGCAACAGAGCGGGAAGGAACATTTTTTAACCCTTCTTTATGAAACCCTTTGTTTGCTTTTTTCCCCTTTTTTTCGGTTGGATTTTCTTTCTCCTTAACTTCACCCACTCGCCTTTGCTTGAAATGTTTGCAGCGATCTTCGTCTTGCTGTCAGTGTCCCATGATCACAGATACTTTATTAGTCAGAGCATTTGGGATTGAGCTCAGCACAAGAAATAGAGATTCGTGGAGCGGGAGGACAGAAATACTGCACAGCTGTTAACAGTGTGTGGTTTGAGTGAACAACCAAAAGAATTTTTTGAGATGAGAAGTTTCCACGCAAAGTCAAGCTGGCTGAGCGGTTGGATGATTTTTGTGAAAATGCATTCACAGGAGACACTTTGAAAGACGTTCGGATAAAAACTTTGCCATACTGCCAAAGAAACAGAACAAATCTCATTTTATTAATCAATAATGACTAGCCAAAAACTGAAAAAAAGAGATGTTTTTCCCCATTGAAAACAGGTCTCCTTTTTTCTTCTTAAATAATGATTTTTTTCTGACAACACAGAATTCCCAATGTGGGTGTCAAATTGATCTGAATACCAACTAAGTCCCAAAACAGGAAAAATGATTTGAAAAATGTTTTTTTTTTCTCTCAGTGATTCTCTCCTTCGCACGACATATATGTCGTAAAACAATTGTTTCTTTGTGCTAGTTGTGAATGCTGCAAAATATCACCAAAACCTGACAGGAGAATTCAGAGTAAATGCTCTCCAAACACTTTTTCCTTTTTTTGGACAAGACTACAGTATTTTCTGTCGAGACGTTGATGCCCAGGATGTTCATACAATTCACATACTCCATTTTCCCATGCCCTTGTGACAAAGATTGTTTTTGACTTGTTCTGGAAGTAACTTAATTATGGCATGACAAATACGTCTGGCTTAACTTAAATGTCTGCTATAACCATCCTATCGTCAGTCCTTGGTGAATTAGCATTTCAATTCTCAGCACCGCGGAGGTCCAGTTAGGGCAGCAACCAAAACAACAATTGTGGTGACCAGCGTGATGTGAGCTCTGAGGAATCGTCTATACATGATTACTGTATCGACTTCATAATTCCTTCTTGGCATGTGACCTAATTGAAGTATTTGGAGTTTTTGTGTTTTGTTTCAAACAAGTTCTGCCTTTTGCTTATCCGGTCGAGCGGTCAGAGCAAAGACATACAGACTTAGCACAGGCAGTATCATATTTTTACACAGAGAGGTACACTCTTGAGTCAAGCTGCCTATTAAAATACCTCCTTCGTGACTGAGCGAGGGCAGTGGAGGCATAGAGGAGTACCGTCAACCCGCACTGAAAAACTTCACATTTAAGTAGTATAAAAAACATTGAAATGAAGTTGATGGACGAATAATAACTCCCACTCAAATAGTACCCAAAAGGCAACTGCGTTTGTATGTAAAAGATGCAACATTTTTCACTTTCACTTGTATAGCGTGACTAGAAGATTTTATTTGACACATCTCTCAATTGAAATAACTGGCCTGAACTTGCCAGTTTGTATTATCCAGCTGTCTTCCTCCCCCTGCTGGACGTCATGTGTCTGCACAGCTGACAGATCGGACCGCTCCAAACCAGACGACTCTTTCCCGAATTGACCATTCCAAAATGATTTCTTCCCCTTAGATATTATATAAACCATTTGTGAAAATCACATTATCAATCAATTGAATTTTCCACATTAGCCGTGAATAAATGAGACTTGATGTTGGGACATACACCCACATGGTGTTGTCAACTGCATGTCGAGAGGCTTTATTTTAGTTTATTTTATTTAATTTGATTATTTAAAAGTCTTCTAAAACTTAGTAATTGTAACAAGTTAAATACACAACAAATACTAAAAGTATACAAAAGTATAATAAAAATATGCCAGGGGTTACTAATAAAACTCCAATGAAAAAGCACAGACGACATTTGAATGAGAGCAGAGGTTCATGGTTTTGAGAGGTTTTTTTTTTGGTTTGTTTCTTGCAGTAGATATTGAAACTAAAACGAAGTCCAGTTCTTTCAGAAACACAGAAATAATGGGCTTTAATCTTTGCAAATACACATTGTGAATGAATACTACACAAGAAAGAGACATCTATCCATCCATTGTTTGAACTGCTTTATCCTCGTGGGCGCGCTGGTGCCTAGCCCAGCTGTCTTTGGGCAGGAGGCAAGGTAAACCCTGAACCGGTTACCATTCATGTTCACAATCACATCTAAGGACAATTTAGAGTATTTCATTAGCTGACTATGCATGGTTTTGTAACGTGGGAAGAAACCAGAGTACCAGAAGAAAACCCACACAGGCACGGGGAGAACATGCCAACTCCACACACGAAGGCCAGCGCCTGGAATCAAACCATGCACCT